CCCCAAAACCCCAAAACCCCTAAATGAAAAAATGTTTCAAATTATTGTGAATAATTTTTAGTGTTTTAATCAAAAGCTAAACTCTTACAATCTTTCAAATTACAAATTCTATATATGTCTCTTGTTTAAGCTCATCTCAATTTTACTTAATCCCCCATTCTACCTTCTAATTTTGTTTATTTACTACATTTCCTTCTCTTGATTATCAAGTTAACTCCTATACTAGTCCTACAAGTCTCTTTTTGGCAATCTCTTTGAAAGCTTCTCTAATAAATATTCATTAGAGTAGTCAGGACTTTAAAGGAGATGATTGTCAAGATAAGATTTTTATCTTTAATTAGAGATACTAATGTTCTCTAAAAGCATTTACTTATGAATCGATCTTGACTTCTATATGTGATTTTGATTTCTCATTTCCAGTACACTGATAATGTCTTTCTAGGGAGTCAAGTCTCTGTAATCTATCTTACTCTTTAGTTGTTAATGATTTTGCAGGATTTGAAGAGGTAAATGCACCTCATGATTTATAGTTTCATTTTAGTGTGACTTCCTTCTTGAATCAAAGTTTAGTTTATTGACAATTGCTTCCTCAGGATGGAATGAAGTCTTCTTGTCAAAACTCATATTTTGCTACTTCTAAAGCATCTGCTGTTTCAGAAAGTCACCATACTATCACCTTGACTCCTTATTCTAGATGGCTAATCTTTACTACTCTTAATTATATCTATGTGAGTCATCATAGGCAATCAGATGCCACATGTCAAAATTAGGACTATTAGGATTCAGAACTTCATGTGGCTAAGATGAATGACTCAGCACTAGTAATTTAGGCTAATTATATCTTCTGTGCTAAGGAATGCCCTCATGTTGATGCTACTAATCCTTGGTACTCTATATATCTATGATCTCTACTCCATTTCTGCTTGGACTCACATTAAAAGATTAGTTGCCTTATTTGATAATTGTGTTTTTAATTGAGGGCAGTTGTATTTCAGGGGATGAGTTTACATCCTGGTAGGAATCAGCTGGGGTCTTTTAAGGGCTGTGCAAGCTCTTACCATTTAAACTGCTGTTATTTGGAAAATCTGCTCACTTGATCTATCATAAACTATTCTTCTTAATCTCACTAAGGACATTTTATCGTGAAAAAAATATTTTCGAAGCTTATTCAATGTTCTAAAATATATAATATGCAAAATTGTAGAAACTTACAATCAAGTCAAGATTATTTTGGTTTGAAAAATAAAGTATGATCTTATCTATAGTATATTAATCTCTGCCTTGCTCTTGTAGTTATTATTTCAGTTTAGCTAGAAGTTATGTCTTTTTCAGGTTTTTTGCCATTTTATGAGTTTTATTTTTAATTTCTATCTTTCCCATTCTTTTTTAGCAAACTTGGGGTTTTGGGGTTTTGGGGTTTTGGGG